TGTTTGCACACATGGCTTGCAGGCATGTTCTTTTTCCCCAGAAGTAACCCATAATTTTATTACAGGAGCTACATTAGCAAGCATGTTGATTTATTTACTTGAATCTGAATATATGTTGCCTTCAATAAAGAAATGGGAGGATTTGAGAGAACAGTTCTATTTCAATTTAGGTATGACATTTTTAAAGATAAGTAAGCTAATAAACTAAGTTGATAATAAAAATTGTATATTGTGCAGTGACACACTCAAGGTCAGTGGAAAGACAGGGCTGTGTTGAGATTTTAGGTAACGTTGCTGAGGGAGAGCCTTCTGGGATGCAGTGACTATAGGAAAGACCTGTCATAGGAGGTTGTTAGCTGTTTGATTGCCAGATTCTACCAGCGCCTCTTGCTGTTGTGTTAACATGTGAGGAGTGAGATGCCTTCCTTTAAAAGCAAAGTTCTATGAACTATTAAACTAGATGACTTCTTCCAAAAGCACTTTTGGTTCTCTTTGATAGTCTCTAGATGACCATATTCCACCTGTCAACTTCGGGCCTGCGTTGGTGTGGGTGTTCTTAGTTCAGCAGGTATTTGGAAGCTGTATATGACCTTACTTTGCATGGCTTATTCTTGAGCTCCTCAACACGTCTTGCATATATTATGTTTTTATGGAGAGGGGAGACAGCTGGGAACAATTAGTAGTCAAAGCTGGTACACCATCGAGAACCTCTGAAGTCCTGGTCTTTTGTTAGCAGTCTGCTTTTCAGTTCTGGTTGACTTTGAAAAATTGGTCCTATATTATTTTCTTGAGACACCAGCCTGCCCTCTGCTTTTATCGTCTCTTGTTTTTATTTATTTAATTGTTTGTTTGTTTGTTCATTTTACATCCTGCCCTCAGTTTCCCCTCCCTCTTTAAGTGCTTCTTGACCATTTGAGATTGCTCTGTTGAAAATTCTCTGTTTAGGTCTGTACCCCATTTTAAAATTTGGATTATTTGGTTTGTTGATGTCAAGTTTCTTGAGTTCTTTATATATTTTGGATATTAGTCCTTTGTTAGATGTGGAGTTGGCGAAAATAGTTTCCCATTCTGTAGGCTACCGTTTTGTCCTATTGACGGTATCGTTTGCCTTGCAGAAACTTTTGTTTTATGAGGTCCCATTTATTAATTGTTGATCTTAGTGTCTGCACTATTGGTAATCTGTCAGGAAGTTATCTCCTGTGCAAATGTATTCAAGGCTATATCTCACTTTCTCTTCTATCAGGCTCAGTGTATCTGGATTTGTGTTGAGATCTTTTATCCATTTGGACTTGAGTTTTGTGCATGGTGATAGATATGGGTCTATTTGCATTCTTCTACATGTTGACATCCAGTTATACCAGCAGCATTTGTTGAAGATGCTTTCTTTTTTCCATTGTATAACTTTGGCCTCTTTGTTGAAAATCAAGTGTCCATAGGTGTGGGGATTTACTTCTGGGTCTTTGATTCCGTTGATCCACCTGTTTGTTTTTATGCCACCAGTGGTTTTTATTACTCTAGCTCTGCAATAGAGCTTGAAATCAGGATGGTGAGACCTCCCGAAGTTCTTTTATTGTTACAGGATTGCTTTAGTTATCCTGCATTTTTTTTTCCATATGAAGTTGCCATCTCTTGTTTTAAGGATCTTTCTTGCCTTGAGTTTGTACCTTGATTCTTATACTTGCTCTCCTGAATCTCTTTGAGTACTGTGATCTACTTGGGCATTAGTTACCACTCCTGTGTTTTGTACTCTCACATCTAATTTTCTAGTCTGATCATCGCCTCTCTTGTGCTTTCAGTCGTTGTAATAAGTGGGCTTCTAAAACATATCTGTTTTCACAGCTAATGAATAGCCTGTATTCAAATATCCAAAAGCAACCAATTTTCTTTATCGAAAAAGAAAATTACTCATGTTTTTAACGTTGCTAAATGGTAGCCTTGTCCAGTTGATTATTCTAATGTCTTTTGCGTGTACATGTTGGTTTGTATGCAGGAGCAAGCAGCCTGTAGTGTTGGTTCCTCAGATGCTGTCCTTTTTATTTTATTTTAAAGTCACAGCGTCTCCCTGGCCTGGCACTTGCCTAGTAGGCTAGGCAGCCTGGTCATTGAGCCTCAGGGATCTGCCTGTCTCCCCAGTACTGGAATTATAAGTACATGCTACTCGCCCTTCTTTTTCTTTTCTAAACCTGGGTTATGGGGTTGAGCTCAGGTCCTCATGTTTTCAGTGTAAACACTTTGCCTACTGTCTGAGCTGTCTTACCAGCCCTGATTACTCCAGAATCTTTGTGCTGCTCTCTACTCAGAAGTGCATATAGCAGACAGTTCAATTTATGCATGCTTTCTATAGCAAGAGGAACTACTTGTCAAGAGGTGTGATTAACTGTTTTAGTGGCATGGTGTTTGAGAGATGTTGCTTGGATTCTAACGTTGCCCTCAGGGGAGGGGGTGAGAAGGTGAGGTGTCAACAACACAGACACCGGGAGTCCATTGAAAGCAAATAATGAACTCATTTATTCAACAACAGGGAAGGCCTTATATACCCTCCTCCCAGCACCCAGTCTGTGTGGTCATCCCTCATTGTCTAGGCATGATCAGGAACTCTGACAGTGACTGTTGCTAGGTCCTCAGGCAGACTTGGCATGATCAGGAACTCCGGCACCTACTAGGAACTCTGACAGCGACTGTTGCTAGGCCTTCAGGCAGACTGCAAGATCAGGAACTCTGATGTTGACCGGGAACTCTTGACAGCTCCTGTTGCTAGGCCCTCAGGCAGACTCCAGGTTGGCTCTTAAGGAGTACATTATGCACATGCCTTGGCTACTGGTCTGAGCCAATTTCCTCGATGCTATGGGCCTTTCCTACTACAGAGAAACTTTGGCAATTTTCTAGAGGATTCAAAAAATGGTCTTATATGTTTGTTGGCTGGCCCAGTGGGTAAAGGCACCTACGTCCAAGCCTGAGAACCTGAGTTTAACCCATGGGACCTACACTCAGAGTTGGAAGAGAAAGCTGACTATTGTACACTTACACTATGTATGTGTGTGTTTACATGTGATTGTATAAACACACACACACACACTCACACACTAGAATAAATCTCACTTAAAATGTTAAAGAAAAATAGGGGTAGTTCTGATTGGTTGTTTTAATAAATCTTACATATATGACTAGACTAGCAAAAGGGTAAACTGATTGGTAAAGAGTTAGTAGTAGCTTAGGTTCACTGGAAATTGTTCATGGTTCTGCAGAGGCCATGCCTATCTATGAGGCAGGCTTCTGCAGAGCTTGGCTCTGGCTCACTTGTGTGATAGTTACATGGGATGTGAAATTCTTTCTGACAAACAAGCCAGCCTAGCTCTGAGCATTGGGCTGCCTCCTAGCTTTGAGGGGTTGTCTTACCCTAGAAAATTGGGACGAGTAATGTTCTAGAAGTGATATGTGATCAAAGCATTCACTTATTCTTGGCCATGGGGGTGGGAGGCATGGAAACGTATTCAATTGGGAACATGTCTGGAGGATTTGGTGTCATACTGAAATAGAAATGCCTAGTTTGTTTATTCTGTTACCGGGGAAGAGAGGGGAGGAGGGGAAAGTCCTTGTTATGTGCTCTGCACTAGTACTTAATTATCGTCCTTAATCCCTCAGGTAAGTTCTGTAGGAAAGGAAGAATGCGTGTCTGGGAGTAAGGCCAAACTGGAAATGCATATCTGGTAGACTTTATGTAATAAGACATTAGTTTAACATCATAGTTGAGCTGATTTGATTCCTCCCCATTACCCCAGCTAGTTGAGTGACCTTGACGCTACATAGTACTTAGTAAACACTCCAGGTACAACAGTTAAAGGTACTGTTATTTTCTTGTGTTAGCTGTCTGACTTTGGACAAATTATGAATTCCTTGAGAGCCATAGTTCTGCTAGCTCTTTCCAGAATTAGGGTATAGATCAAAAAATGCAAGGGAGTATTTTAAAAGCAGCACTGTGTAAATAAAGTAATTGTTAATCACAGGTGTTTATGACTGGATTATAATGTTTTGGGACCAAATTTTACAGTGTCTTGATATTATTTTGCAGGTGTTATAGATTGGGCTATCAAATAGACTTTAGACCAGGAGGATAGGGTAATAACTAGTGTGGTACTGGGACTTGGAGGGGAGGAGAGCCTAGAGATCAAAAAGCATGCTTATAAAGGCTGTTGTAAGCTACAGTGGGGGCCACACTTAGTAAAATGACAGCAGTGATGAAAAGGTGGACGTTTTGAAATCACTGCAGTTCTATGTTGACTGTAAGGGATATGAAAACAAAAATAAGTTTCTTGGACTTTTTTTGAGATTGACTTGAATACGTATCTTTAAATACAACTGATTTATAAACATGAAACAATAGTCCTTAAAGAGGTAGCCGTTGGTTGAGAGTACTCGATGCCTGTGTTGGAGGGTCAGAGTTTAGTCTCCAGTACCTCCATCAGGCAGCTCACAGCCTCCTGTTACTTCAGGGATTCCTTACTGTCTTCTGACCTTGCAGGCACCTGCACATCCACGTGTATGTGTGCACACGCAAACATATAATTAAAAAATAACTTCTAAAAAAAAAACCAAATAAAAGAAATAGCCCTTTGACAATGTCTAGGACCCTGAAAAGCTTTTAGTTTTAGGTATTTATTTCGCCATTTCTAAAATAATAATCCAAATGTGTAATGTATGAAGAAAGCTTTTGGAAAAGGGTACAAATTCAGTACTAACCTGTGTAAATAATTAGCTGTAAGTTAAAATAAATATAACTATATTAGAAATGTTGTGATTTTCAAAAACTGCTATTAGGGATGAAATTTTGAAATGTATGAAATGATGAGCATATATAAAGATGGACAGATCTGTGGTAAATGTGACAGAAAATTGTAGATTTTTGTGTGTGCAAGTTTTACTATAACATTGGTGGAGGCATGGAACTAAGGCTTATCTGGACGATTTCCCTCTTCTGACCTGAGACTTGACGTTTTCTGTAGGAACTTTCCGCTGTACCTTTTGCCAAGCAGAGGTAGAAGAAGATGAGTCAGCAATGCCCAAAAAAGATGCTCGCACACTTTTGGCGAGATTTAATGAACAAATTGAGCCCATTTATGCATTGCTTCGAGAGACAGAGGATGTCAACTTGGCCTATGAGATACTTGAACCAGAACCCACAGAAATCCCAGCCCTGAAGCAGAGGTGAGTGGAAGCCTGGGCCTTGCTTGACCTTTTACACTTTGCATTGGTTTCATTTTGGAGGGCTAGAGTGAATACTCTAGAGACTAAAGACTGAGATGTCACAGAGGTTCTAAGTTCTGCCATGCTTCTCTTATTAACTTGTGCCATAATCAGATTTGTTGGGACTGAATGCAGTACAACGTAGGCCTGCGGCAAAAATCTTTAAGTAGTCAGATTTCACCTCAGCCACTCCTGGTTGGGCCTGCAGCACTCAGCCAATTGGTAGCTAATCTGAAATTAGTTGTGCCTCTTGGGAATATTTGAATTTTCCTAGTCATCTTTTTTTTTTTTAAATTTTTTCATAATTCTTTTGGTTCTTCAAGATAGGGTTTCACTGTGTAGCTCTGGCTGTCCTGGAACCAGGCTGGCCTCAAACTCACAGATCCACCTGCTTCTGCCTCCCAAGTGCCAGGATTAAAGGTGTGCACCACCACTGCCTGGCTTGTAGTCAACTTTTAAAGGCCAAAATTCTTTCAGGAGTACAGCAGTTTCCTATAGATTTTTGTTTGCTTTTTTTATTAGCATGTACGTTTTGTGATAGCCTTTGCATACATACTTTGTTTTTGTTTGTTGGTCCTCCTCCCTGATTTCTCCCCCATGCCCCTGCCTTACACCGTGGCATCCCACGCAGTCCCTTGTCCTGTTCCCACTTGGATGTCACAGTTATTTCATTCTCTGCTACCCCAGACACACACCACTCGTGCCTCAAAACCTTTCCCTTTTCCTAGCTTTGTTCTTTCTAATTCCATGACCTGCACCCACATGTATACCCTCACATGCACACATGCATGACTTAAAAGCTAGGGTTTATGTATGAGTGAGAACATGGAGCATGTTGTTTTATTCTTCTGAAACATTTTGAACACACGCTTCTTGTCTTACTTAGTTTTACTGCGACTTTGTTACGGTATAGTTACCCCTGAGCTAATACTGCTAACAGTGGCTGCTTCCTCTTTCTTCAGTGTGCTGTAGTGTTTGAATTGCTAGGCAGGCTTAGTTCTTCCATGTCATGAAAAGTCATTATATTTTAAGATTTATTTACTTTTAGCTTCTGTGTGAGTATTTTGTCTGCATCTGTGGCTGGTGCCCACAGAGGCCAGAAGAAGGTGTCAGATCCCCTGGAACTGAAATTGCAGATAGTTGTGAGCCACCCTGTGGGTGCTGGGGACTGAACCCAGGTTCTCTGCAAGAACAGCAAATGCCTTTAACCTGTGAGCCTTCTCTCTAGCCCACAGGAGTTACTGTATTACTTTTCGAGATGCCTAAGTGAGAGCTGGTGTCAGGGAGTGTTCTCTTGTTCTGAGTGAGAGCTGGTGTCAGGGAGTGTTCTCTTGTTCTGAGTGAGAGCTGGTGTCAGGGAGTGTTCTCTTGTTCTGAGTGAGAGCTGGTGTCAGGGAGTGTTCTCTTGTTCTGAGTGAGAGCTGGTGTCAGGGAGTGTTCTCTTGTTCTGAGTGAGAGCTGGTGTCAGGGAGTGTTCTCTTGTTCTGAGTGAGAGCTGGTGTCAGGGAGTGTTCTCTTGTTCTGCTCTGTCCTTGTTTCCTTCTTTCCGATACCGAGGTGAATTCAGACCCACCGACCTGCTCTTGTGTTTGTGTGGGGTTCTCGAGCTTCTGTTCCATCTTTATTTTTTTATTGAAAATAGATTTTCATTCATACTATATATTCTGATCTGGTTTCCCCTCCTCCAACTCCTCTAAGTCCTTCCCACTTCTGCACTCACACAAATCCACAGTTTCTTTTTCTCAGTAGAAAACATAGGCATCTAAATAATAATAATAATAATAATAATAATAATAATAATATAAGAACAGATAAACCAGAATAGGACAAAACAAACATAAAAAAGAGCCAAAGAAAAGGCACAAGAAATACATACAGATGCTGAGACACACATAGTCACACATAGAAAATTCATAAAACAAAATTGGAAACCATGATATATAAGCAAAGGGAAAAGAGGGTTAGGGGGAAAGCCCAGAGAAAGCATTATCAGGAAAACAAAAAACAAAAACAGATTCCATTGGAGAAAACTAATTTTCCCTTTGTGAGTGATTATCAATTGGAGATAGTTTCTGGATTAAAGATGGGGGCATGTGTCCACTTCCCCTCTCAGCACTAAGACCCCATCTGGCTTGGCCCTGTGAATGCTGCCACAGTCTCTGTGAGTTCACATGTGAGTTGGTATTGCTGTGTCTAGAAGGCCTGTTTTCTTGATGTCTTTCATCCCCATCAACTCTTACAGTTTTTCTGCCTCATCTTCTACAGAGTTCCCTCATCACTGAGGGGAGGGGTTTAATGAAGACAACCTATCTAGGACTGAGTGTTCCAAGATCTCTCACTCTCTGCACTTTATCCAGTTGTGGGTCTCTATATTTGTTCCCATCTGCTGCAGGAGGAAGCTTCTCTGATGATGACTGAGCAAGACACTTATCTCTGAGTATAGCAGAATGACATTAGGAGTCATTTTATTGTTACTGTCCTTTAGCAGAACAGTAGTATTTGGTTTTCTGCTAGACTCATGACCTATCTAGTCTCAGATCCTTGGCCACCAGGGCAGTGTTGGTCATTTGCTCCATCTCATGGAGTGGGCCTTGAATCCAATCAGGTAGTGGTTGGTTACTTCATGGAGTGGGCCTTGAATCCAATCAGGTAGTGGTTGGTTACTTCATGGAGTGGGCCTTCAATCCTATCAGGTAGTGATTGGTTACTTCATGGAGTGGGTCTTCAATCCAATCAGGTAGTGGTTGGTTACTTCATGGAGTGGGCCTTGAATCCTATCAGGTAGTGGTTGGTTGCTTCATGGAGTGGGCCTTCAATCCAATCAGGTAGTGGTTGGTTACTTCATGGAGTGGACCTTCAATCCAATCAGGTAGTGGTTGGTTACTTCATGGAGTGGGCCTTCAATCCAATCAGGTAGTGGTTGGTTACTTCCACAGCTCAGGTACCACTATTGCACCAGTGCATCTTGCAGGCTGTCACCATTGCAGATTTCAGGGTTTGTAGCTGGGTTGGTGTTTACCTTTCTCCTCTGGTGATGTGCAGAGTACCTTCCAGCACCATTAACACTAGTCAGTAGTGACCAAGGCTCTAGATAAGTACCAGTTTGACTCCTCTGTGTTCAGTGAGTTCTGTAGACATTGTCTTCAGCAGTAAAGCCTTATTGTCAGTTTGTGGAGAGCAACCTAAATCTGGGTTGGCAGTAGCCTAGGTTTGGGGGGAGGGTTCCCATGGGACCCCTTTGGTCAACTCAATTAGATATAACCTGTTCTCAGCACTAAGGTTTCATTTGGTGGCAAGGAATGTCTAGTTGGAGCTTTGTCTCCCTGTTACTTGGTGACTCCATTTAGACTTCTTTCATATATGGATATATTTTAAGAAGCTACCAGGGGGTGGTGGCGCACGTCTTTAATCCCAGCACTCAGGAGGCAGAGGCAGGTGGATCTCTGTGAGTTTGAGGCCAGTCTGGCCTACCAAGCGAGTTATAGGACAGCCCAGGGCTACACAGAGAAACTCAGTCTCAAAAAGAAGAGAGAGAGCGAGCGAGAGAGAGAGAGAGAGAGAGAGAGAGAGAGAGAGAGAGAGAGAGAGAGAGAGAAACTGTATTAGGTTTCTATACAACCCCTCAAATGGCTCTTAGTTTTAGTTGTGCCTCTGTATTTTCTTCTTACCCCTTCTCTTGCCCTCCCTGTTTGATCCTCCCTCTTCAGTCCACCCCTACTCCCCTGTCCATCCATTACTGTCTGTTCTGTTTCCTCTTCCTCGGGAGCTCGTACTCCCCACCCTCCAGTGCCCTGCTCTGTCCCTGACTTCCATGGTTATGTGGTTGCAGGCTGCTTACCGAAGACCTGACAGTTAACACCCACACCACATAGAAGCGAACATACCCCATGTTTGTCCTTTGGGTCTGGGTTGCCTGCCTCAGCATGATTTTTTTCTAGTGGACTTCTTTTTTTTTCTTTTTTAATTCTGTTATTTACTGTTAAATAGCGAGTCGTGAGCTAATTGCGTTTCCTCCTTCCAGTTGTATGGAGAATTCTGTAACTTTATCAGTTATTGTGGGCTAACCCTAACCCCATGTGTCAGTTAGGATGCCTTTGCCTGTGCTAACTTGTCTTCTGTGACCAGAGGCTCTGACTTAGTACAGTTCATAACTCAGTCGCACACTGAGGGTCTAGATTTCTTTCTCCATCTCTGTTCTCCCCTGTTGCATTGCCCTCTTAGGACTATGAGGGGAACTCCCCTAAGGCCGCCATGTGTCCTGATTACCTGCGGATGAAAGCATCCAAGTGCAGAGAAGATGGCATTTTTTTCCTTGTATCTTATTTTAAAATAGGACTAAAGAAACATTCCTGGAAAACACCCTTCATCTTATCTGTTCCCCAATGTCTTATTGGCTAGAATTACTTTGTATATTTATTTTAAACCAATATCTGATAAGGGGGATGAAATTTTGTGATTGGTACTCAAACCAGCTAAATTTTACTTTGATTGGGGAAGTTCCAAGTTCTTTTGAGCAACTAGCCATTAATATTTAAATAAAAATGATAAACAAAAATTGAGATTAGTAGGGAAACATTACCATCCACATCACAGGCATTCTCATGTTTAACTCAGTAAGTTAACCCATTGATGAGGTGTAGACACTTACTGTTATTTAGTTGATGCCCCAAATAAAATCTACCTTGAATTTCTATAAAAAAAAAAAAACACATTGAAAAATAAGATTTTAAGGGTGGTCGTCTTCATTCATTCTGGTTATTATTTCTATTTTTCTTGTCTTTCTTTCTTCAAAGTACCTCTTTTGACTGCATGAGATAGTCTTCAAAGTTAGCCCTATGATGCTGTGTTCAGGAGTACGTATAAAGAGAAACAGTGTCCGAGAGTTGATAAAGACAGATAATAACGATAATAAAGTAAAGACAGGTCCACGCTAGAGCAGTGTGCCTTTCTTCTCTCTCCTGACTGGACTTAGCTGACTCTGGAAGCAACATTTGGAGGCAGGTAGAAAAAGCAGGCTGCATACAGCAGGATGAAGATGTTGACTGAGGATAGATGAAGATGTTGGCTGCGGATAGACACAGCACTGCAAGGAGCTGAGGAAACAGCGAGATGGGCAGGGGGAACTCAGCATGTAGTGTAAGCACGAAACCAGAAATGGAGCAGGATGGGAAAATGAAAGGAACGTGATTGCTAAGCGAAACAGTCAGATCGCAGTAAAGGCAGCTTCACGATTAGGGAGGGAGAGTGTCTAGCGACAGATACGGCCAAATTGAGACCAGTGGTAAGCCATGCAAAAAGTACCATCATTGAATGCAGAAAGGAACAGAAGGAAGAAGGTACAAGTGCTTGCATCTGTAGCATGAGACACCAAAGAAAGCGAAATGGAAAGATGGAGTGGATGTATTTGGTCGGATCCAGAGTGGGAGTAAGGAGACAGCAGGGAGGAGTTAAAAGTATTGAGACCAGATAGAACCAGGAAGAAAGGCTGTGGGCAAGAATGGTAGAGAGTATCCCTGGTGCAGGCAGGCTAATGAAAAGAATGTGGAGGCAGTAGCTGGAAAGTGTGCGTTAAATAACTGGAAGGAGCTTAGTTCTTGGTTTCAAAAGTCTAGTACAGAAGCAGGGCAGGAGGGATGAGACAAGCCGGAGACTACCTCTAGAGAATGGTCAGAAACACGGTGTTGTAAGAGACGTGTAGCCAGATTCTTGGACACAGACACATCAGAGGAACCTCAGCTCAGCATGTGATGGACAGTCCAAGGAGCTTTGAAGTAGTCTGAGAGAGAGACAGAGACAGAGACAGAGACAGAGAAAGAGAAAGAGAGAACACAACTTAGCAGAACAAGGACAGTGGTTCATAGTGGCTCATGAGGGAGGAAGATTAATGAAATGTTGGTCAGATTTAGGATGAGCTGGTTTCCAAAAGGATAACAGAATGCAGGAAAATGATTTAGAGAACTGTGAGAGAAGTTGAGGGAAATCATAAGGTCCAGTGTGGGCACTGGAAAAACCTTACAAAGGTATGGAGTGAGCAGGTAGTTCAGGGAACGGGATGGCTTGTGGGGTGAAACCTCTAAGCAGGCACGTTAGAGACAAATCTCTATAGATCGAGATTGAAAACTTGAAAGCAGGGAAAATAGGAAGCAGAAGGGAGAAGGCAAACTTGGCTAAGCTCATATAAATGGGGCAGCCGGGTGATTGGAGAAAGAAGGAACCTCCCGTCAGGCCCAGAAGGCCATAGAGGTAAAGAGCAAACCAGACCAGGAAACAGATCAGAGTCCCTGTTGGGGATGTTGGGGATGGCTGGGCAGGTAATCAGTATAGGTATAGAAATAGAAAGATGCAGCTGGATAGAAAAGGGACTGCATTCTGAAGAGTGTTCTGTTTACTGAGTGGCAGGGGGAGATTGTTAATTCTAACTTGAGGTCTGGCCCTATAGAGTAATTGCCTAACTTTGCCCATGGTCACACAAAACCACCCTAGATTAAAGTTAAACTACAGAAAATCTTTTTAAGATACAATCTTGATTTTGTTTAGTTTTAAACAAAATCTTCATGGAAGGTATGACTGGGAGCTGTTTGGCCAGAATGGTATCTTTAGTAACTTTCACTCTCCTTCTCCTCCCCATACAAATTAATGGACAGGTAACAGTCTCTGAAACGTTGGTTCTTCATGTATGTGAGAGGGTACAGTGTTTGCAGAACTTAAGTATGATGGAATCCATCCAGCTTTCACCCTGGGTTAAAGAAGAGCTTTCTGAGAGTTGTTGATGCATGCCTGATGGATAGTTAAGTAGCTTTTGTTCAAATGACTGCCGCATTAACCCTCTCTCTAGCTGTCCTTCCTGTTCAATGCCCAGACTGTAACTTTTCTTCTTCTTGTTCCTCTCTAATTTTTTTCTACAGCAAGGACCGAGCCGCAACTGCTACTGGAGCTGCTGGTCTGGCAGGTGGGCACCACCGGGAAGCCTGGACCAGCAAAGGCCCCTCTTATGAGGACTTATATACTCAGAATGTTGTCATTAATATGGATGACCAAGATGACGTTCATCGCACCTCGCTGGAGGGGAAATGTGCCAAAGAAAGGCCCATTTGGTTGAGAGAGAGCACTGTCCAAGGGGCATACAGCTCTGAAGACATGAAGGAAGGTAAGAGTGAGAAGTCAGTAAGATGGGTATGTCCTGGATTTGGTAGGAAATGAAATCTGCTTGGAAAGAGAATGCCTGAATAATTCTTGGTTTTAATGAAAATTCATTGTATGAAATTGAGCAATAAGCATTAAAAGCAGCCAACATGTTATACTGTCTTTCGGTTTAGTGAAAACAATAAATAGGGTTTTAAATCTGTTTTTTTTTTTTTTTTTTTTTTTTTTTTTAAAGATTTATTTATTTATTATGTATACAGCATGTATCCCTGCAGGCCAGAAGAGGGCACCAGATCTCATTACGGATGGTTGTGAGCCACCATGTGGGTACTGGGAATTGAACTCAGGACCTCTGGAAGAGCAGCCAGTGCTCTTAACCTCTGAGCCATCTCTCCAGCCCTAAATCTGTTTTTTAAAAGATTTATTTGTTTTTATGTGTATTAGTGCTTGCTTATACATACATATGGGTCCTCCATGCACCTTTTTTAATGAGTTTAAAGTTGGTGTAATTTGCTTCAGGAAAATGAAACTACCATTTGTTGATTCATTCAGTAAATTCTTACTCAGCGCCTAATAGGTGGCAGGTGTTGTTCTAGTGCCTGGGGTCACAGTGAATAAGAAAGAGAAGTTTGTTGTGACAGAGTCCTTATCCTTAGACAGTGACAGAGGCAGTAGCCTAAGTCATCGAGGTATAAAGTGAGTGCTGTGGGGAAGACAGAACCTTGGTGAAGCGGCAGTTGGTAAAGACATAAAGGACACAGGGAAGTGAGAAAGAAGAACTCCGTCAGGGCCAACAGGCAGTACACCCCCACCCCCACCCCAGGGAGTGTGCGCCTTGTGTTTACGAGGAACACCAACTGTAGCTGGAGCAGTGGGTAAGGGCGGGAGGATGGGTCAGAGGAAGATGGCCTGGAGGAGGGAGCACATTAGAGGCCATTTCTAGCTTTTACTCTGGGCCAGGTGAAGGGCCGTGACCTCATTCCCTGTTATAGCAGCTACCATACTTGGTCCTCTTGGCATTATCCCACACAATCTTACCCAGAGTCTTAGAAGGTACACCTTTTGTCAGCCTCCTAAAATTTAGAAATTGAAAATTTTGCTCAAAATAGTACAGCTTGTGTGGGGGAGGGAGAGAATTCACATCCATGTGAACTTAGTAAACCTGTAAATTCCATGTTCTTAGTCATTGTGCTACGTAAGCTTTAGTTTTTAAGAAACATTTTAGATATTCTGTAGAACAAACAGCAGCTCAGAAAATGGAACCAGTGAAGTCTGTGTTATGTTATTTATCAGTTGAAACATAACACATTAAAAGTCTGTTTTTCATTAGTTACAGGTGAATGCTCTTTGTGTTTAAGGATCGTGACTTTCTGGCTTTTGACTTCCAGGTGGCATCGATATGGACACATTTCAGGAGCGTGAGGAGGCCCGTGCAGGGCCTGATGACAATGAGGAGGTCATGCGGGCTCTACTCATTCATGAGAAAAAGACTTCTTCTGCGGCAGCTGCCTCGGTGGGAGCAGCCGCTCCGGTGACCGCTGCCAATGGCAGCGATTCGGAGAGTGAGACCAGCGAGTCGGATGAGGACTCCCCACCCCGGCCGGCAGCTGTGGCTAGCCATCATCGGGACGAGGATGAGGAAGACGATGAGTTTGAGGAAGTAGCAGATGACCCCATTGTTATGGTGGCTGGCTGCCCATTCTCCTACAGTGAAGTGAGCCAACGGCCAGAGCTGGTAGCCCAGATGACACCAGAGGAGAAGGAAGCATACATAGCCATGGGTCAGCGAATGTTTGAGGACCTCTTTGAGTGAGCTCTCCTTGCTCTCTCCTCATCCTGAGCTCATTTCAGAGAGAAACTCCCCACCAAGTGCTTAAGTGGCTTCCTGCCCTCTTGATGGAAGCACCTATTAATCTAGTACAAAAGCATAATAGGAGAGAAAGTTGGCTTTTTTGTTTGTTTTTAATGTCAGAAACTTTCAAGAAAGGTAGGTGGGCTATAAGTATTCCCTTCCCTCTTTTTACTAAAGTATTAATATTTTTCTGTAATTCCTTATCTAATTTTTTCCTTCATTTTGAAGACCTATTTCTCTCACTGTTTACCTACAGACCCTAGGATGAACTTACCCTAGTATAAGTGTTTTCTGGTCAAGCATCTGAAAAAATTCCTTGTCCTGCCAACCAAAGCAGTTTACCGAGAAGCAGATCACTGGTTAGGGGAACCCCAAACACTTCATCTTTCCTCCAAATTGAGTTTGGGGACAACCTGTAAAAGGAGAGAGAGAGTGCAGGAGACAGAGAGAAAGGAGAGGAGAGCACGCCCATGTGCCCAGGGTTACAGGTAGCAGAGCAGGCTGTGTAGACCCTCATGAAGAAGTGAGAGGAGCACCCACAAGGGCGAAGAGTCTGTGTCCAAGATTGAAGGACTGAGAGCGTGGGGACAGTGCCTTAGAACTGCCCCAGTGTGTTCTGTAGACCTGCCATGTAAAGCTGAGCCTGGTCAGCACTTCCCTCCTGGTCTAGAGGCCTCTTGCCAGTGCTCTCAATTAAGGAGCCCTTCCAGTAGAAAGCAGTAGAGAATTGTTGATGGCTCCACTCTCCCTCTGGTCTTGTAAACACATCAGAGCCCTTTGTCAGACATTATATTCTAGTGCCTCCCCTGTGTTGTTGAACATCGTACCTCAAGGATTGTAGTCATGGAGCGTGGTGTTATCCCTGAAGGCAGAACTTTAAAGATAAAGGGCTTTCATCTAAGGTCTACAACCATTACATTTTGCAGTATTTTCTCTTCCATTGTGACTTTTAATTATCATTTTGTAGTCTGTGTGTGAAACAGCATTGTAGAGTATCTGAGCCTTGTATAAAGTGATGATTCCTTTACCTGGTTGTTGGATGACTGAATATTAACAGTCTACTTATTATTGTTTAAAATTTGTTAATTTCTAGCTCTAACATCTTGGAGCATAACTAGAATGTATACTCTTCCATTTAAAGATGTCCGAGACTTCTGGTCATCATCTAATATCATAGGTGCAATTGGATGCCAACTGAACTTTTGGGGGGGGGCAATGAATTACCCTAAAATACCTTTTATGTGTTTATCTTTTAAACACATGAACTGTTCAGCTTTTAATTTTTTTTTAAACTTTCATGGTTCTAGAAAGATGTTACTTTTTAAAACATGATTAATGTTTAAAATATGTTCTTTGTTGCATTTTATATGAGTATGTGTATGAGTGTGCTTTTCTATTGTGGAAAAATGTATTAATAAAACTCATTAAAGCAGTGTTTGAATTAGACTAGAGAGATGGTTGTACTCACTAATGTGCATTAACCAGGAACTAAATATTTTCCAAGGAAAATACAGTCATTCCTAAGAAGGCATTAGGAAGGAAAGGTATCCATCCCTATTGAGTTTCATGTAAAAGGATTCACATTTTCTGGTACTGTTTGCAAGACACTTTCTTAGCTGTTTTATTTGACTGAGCATTTGGAACAAACATGAGTCAGGGATGGTATGTGTGAGTGAAAATACTGGGAATGGGATATGCAGTAATCTTAGTGTGCTACACAATAGAGAGATTCCCATTTTAGAAAATAGCACATGGATAATGGATTATATGCAGAAATAGTGGAATGACAAAGGCAAATTCTGTGTGAATGCTAAGATATTTAGGTGCATTCTTTTTCTCATATTTAAAGCCCAGATTAATCAAATTAAAAGAATAAGACAATATAATTTAATATGTAAATTTTTGACTATTGCCTCTATATTTCAATAACATGTGTGACCTCAGGAGAGCCTGCTCTTATTTTGTCAGACAGGCATGTTTGTCTCAAGCTGCTCAGTAACTTGTTAAGAGAAGCCAATTAGTGACAGAACACCAAAAATGGGAGTGCTGCCAACTGAACCTCTACTGAGGGTGAATCTAGCCCCATAGGTGGCAAATACATGTAGTAACATGTAGTAAAGAGGGACCCCAGGATATTAGGAATTATTGCCACCCGCGGCATGTGGTGAAGGATAGGCAGGAACACAATTTCTCTGGATGCGCTTGGCTATCTTATCATTATGCTCATGTGAGCCGTCCATGTAGCCTGACTTTTCCGTTGCCCTTAAGATGCTCACGGAACTCTTAACATGGAAGACTACTTCTAGTATGATTTCTTTGGGAAACCACCTCTCCTTTGAGGGGAGGGAAGCAAGGGGCTTCTATTCTTTGTCCCTACCTCTCTGCTACCCTGGTTTCTCCATCTATACTACTCCTGGGTTCCATTAACATCAGGCTGTGTTGTAGCGAACTTCACTGGAGGATGGAGGCAGGAGGAATCAGGAAGAGGGGAGGGAGGGGATTATGTCCTTTTCTTTAAGAATCTCTCAGTCATTCTCAGAAGTTCTGCCATCAAGTTTGACTAAAGTTTCAGCTTTCTTTTTTCTTTCCACATCATCCATTTTCCCAAAGGCCCTAGAAAGTTTTCATGTGTTTAAGTTATTCCTGTTCCTTTCAAATGGTTGCCTTTAAAGCATCTGTAACATCCAAAGAGGCCTATCAAGATGGCTCCCTAATGTTGGAACCAGCATGGGAGGTTAACTGTTTTCTTTTTTTCCTTCAAATTCCCCCCCCCCCCACTAAACTATATCCCATATCCTGTACACTTGGATATCTATCACTTTCACTTACACTTTTCCCCAAAACTAGGGAGCTAAACTACCCTAGCCCTAGGAGATCCAGGCCCACCTGGGGCTGCATTATTTGATCTGCCCTTGAAGTTGGTACTTTCTGTTTATTTTGAAGCCTCTTCCCCCCACCTTTTCACAAATCATCTTAAGGAATATTAAATTTAAATGACTTTTAAAAATGCATTCAGCAGATCCTAGTGGAAATCGGGACGAGGTGTTAACCCTAGCACTGGCTGACCAGACACCCTTACCTCCAATGCAGTGCTGTTTCCTAGTGTGACATTTCCTGGCCATTTTCTCAACAGTCGTTTATGGAACGTTTCTACTAGGGTCCCCAGGTTTATTCCAGCTATTATGGAGGCAAATTTTGTGTGTGTGTGTGTGTGTGTGTGTGTGTGTGTGTGTGTGTGTGTGTGTGTGTGTGTATTTTTTAATAAAGCTAAACAACACCCACAAAAAATGCCTTGTGATGTGCTGAAGGAAGTCAAAACCAGGTGAAGAGTATTTTAATGGAGAGACCAAGGTAGAGGGCAGATTTGGAATTGGCAGTGTCACAAGCCACAAAATGAATGGCAGATAGTTGGGTTTCTATTTCCCCATCTTGCTTTGGTGCTTAATTTCTAGTCATCTGCATGACTAAGGGAGAAATGAGTATTTTATAACGGTTGCTATCATAAGAGGTTGGGGTACCAGCAGGAGATGAGAACAGCAAGGGCAAGTTCACTTTATCCCATCAGTTGGCTCCATGCCTAAATTTCCAGCCAGGACCACAGTCAAAAAGATGTTGCTTTTTCTCTTTATTCCCAAGTTTTAAAAAAAGGAAGTATAAAATAACAGTTTCTCCTTCTGACCATCAAGAGTCACCTGAGTCGCCGGGCGGTGGTGGCGCACGCCTTTAATCCCAGCACTCGGGAGGCAGAGCCAGGCGGATCTCTGTGAGTTCGAGGCCAGCCTGGGCTACCAAGTGAGTCCCAGGAAAGGCACAAAACTACACAGAGAAACCCTGTCTCGAAAAACCAAAAAAAAAAAAGAGTCACCTGAGTCAATAGAGCTCCTTAGTAGAGCACTTGCCTAGCATCCAGACCGCAGGTTGGATGCCCCACCACTGGGAATAAAGAAAAAGCCCTTCAGAGTTTTGAAATTGGCACAGTTCGCTTCCTTATTTGTTTTGTGCTTTGTTTTCGACAAAGCTATGTTACCTTTAACAGCTGGGTTGCAATCGCATTTTTAATAGCTAAAAATTCTCTCCCGGAAAAGGGAGACTTTTAGAAAGAAACTGGTACTGTGGTAAACTCACTGCCTATTCATGTTTTTTTCTTCCCCCTGCTATAAAAGAAATAAAGTAAACTGAACAGGATTAGTGCAGATAACTCTTAAAACCTGTGAAGCCAAAGTGGGTTAAGAAAGGGGAAGGTAATGAAATCTTCCTTTGGAGAGCTAAAGGGATGAGCCAATTCCCAAGTGCCTTTAAGTGCAGGAGCAGATAACTGGCCTTGCTTCAGAATGAGCTTTATGTCCTGAGTACCAGAAGCAGCCTTTCGAATTCACTTCTAAAGCCGCTAGGCCTAGTGCATGACCCAGTTTCAACAGTCAGCCCACGATTCCCATCATACAAAAGTACATTATCGCCTACCCAATGTAAATAAGTCTGTGAAATCAGCCTAGAAAGGGTACAAGTGCCAGGTTCTTGAATCGTGTTAAGACATACAAGATGGTTGTATAGTCTCATTGTTACATAATGTATTTAATGTTTTTAAATTACCCAGTTAGAAATATAGATAGTAAAAACTGAGAACTCCTCGGCCCACCCCCATTTCACTGTTCTGAGGAAACCATTGTTGACAGTTTGCTTGTTCCGTACATCTTCTATGCCTTTAGCCCCCTTCTGTATAAGTGGAATTATATACACTGCCATTTGCTTTTGTAAAAATTAGAGCTATATAGAATTTTAAAATATGGTTTTATGCAACCTCCTTTATCGATGACTAATCCTATCCTTACATTTTCATTACTTTTGGTTATTTCTGTGACATAGACTCCTAAGAGAAATAGCCAAAGGGTGTGTTAGTCTGTCTATGTTGCTGTAACAAGTAGCCGACGCGGGATACTCTCTAAGGAACAGGGGTTTGTTTAGTGAGGTTTGGAGGCTGAAAGTCCCAAGATCAGCCATCCCCATCTGTTGGGCCACTTGGCAGCAACACAGACGGGTGGAAAGGGAAAAATGGCTGTTTGCAGCGGAGGCCGAGTACAAGGAATGGACTTACTTTATTGTGACATGCTCTTACAAGAACCTGCTCTGAGAGGCCGCGTTAGTCCCCCTTCCATCCCTGGTGATGTGACCATCATCAGGTCCAACTCTTAAATGTTCCTCCATCTCAGCACTCCCACAACACAGGGGGCCAGCCTAGCACACAAAACATCCAAATCAACAGGACGTGTCCATTTACACTGCAGTAGACACTGCCAAATTATCTTTTAAAAGATGGTTGGGTGGTATTGAGCCGAAGAACAGTGTGAAGTGTTAAGACTTGATGAGAGTTTACATCTGGAGAATAATAAAGCCATGTTTCATAGTCTTGGTGTCCGAGACCATGTGGATAGGAAGATGGGGACAGATTTGAAAGATGGTAAAGAGATAGAAGTAATACGATTTGGTGACTTTGGACAGGATGGTTTTTCTGGGATGAATCTGAAGTTTCTACATGGATGCTGGCACTGCTCATCAGGACTGGAACCAGGAGGGGCCGGAGATTTTCCATATTCAGCAGACAACTCCACCATTTTACCTACAAGGTCAACCTAAAAGTCATAATCATTGACCATTTTTGCGTTCTTTACCCTGCATCAGGTTTATCCAGTTTTGCCAGACTCAAAATATAATCTAACTTATATAACCTACCTCTGAAGGCAGAGCTGACCTGGACCTGCTGATGAATGGAGATAGACTATAAATCTGATGTGGTGGCTTCACCACTGTCACCCTCTTGTCAGCTGTGTCAGCTCTCCCCGTGGCCACTGCAGCTGCCCCCAGCTCTTCTCTCTGCTTCCACAACACACAAGGTTTTAACCATTCACCCCCACAGAGGGATTTAAAAGAGTAACAAATCATAATCAGATTTTAATTTCGATGACCTCCAGATCTCTTACCCTTTCCACCAGTCCCTATTTGGCCTGGTCTCTAACTACCTGCTTCTTCCACTAATTTCTTTGTTGAAAACTCTTAGTTTGACTAGAGCATCTTTTTGCCTGCCTTAGGCCTTGGTCTAGTTACAGTCAGTATAAAACACTAACCCATTCTTGCCTGTTACTTCATTCTTAAGCACAAATGCCACCTCTGAGAAACCAGTTCTCTGTTTTCCTGTCTACTCTGTATTTTCCTGTTTTGTTTATTTACTGCAAATTTAAAACTTGAAATCAATGTCCTATTTATCCCCATCATCCTTCCCCCAAAAGAGACTAAGCCACCAGAGGACAGGATACTAGCATGTAGAATTAATTCTGCCTCAGAGTCGACTCCTAAGTGTTGAATGGAGAGATGGGCAGATGAGTTAGCAGTAGGGGAATCTGACCTTTTCTGTACTGAAGCTGATCATTTTGTTCCTGCCTGAATTGCAAATTAGTTA